CGAAATAAAATTCGCCTCTAAGAGGTATTTTATAGCTTTTTCAGCCGCCGCCGACTTTTCGGGGGACTGTCGACACCTATGTTGCACTACGGCCTTCGCGGTCGGGCTGATGGACAGTTGATGGCAGGCGACTTCGGGGTCGAGTCCGGGCATTTATGCGGCGCTCCAGGCGAAGAGGTCGGCGTTCTCGCGGAGACAGGCTTGTAGCTGTTTCTTCGCTAAGTCTGGGAGTCCGGCTCCGATCTTCACGCTAAGTCTGGGAGTCCGTCCGGGATGGGGCGTGCCGGGTGGGTGGGCTGCCCGTTGGACTGGTTGTATTCGCTGGTCCTTATTTCGTGATCGTGCTCTTCGGTGAAGTGGCTGTCGAGGTCCACGGATCCGAAGAGCTCCTTTGGTTCGCTCTTCGGCATCATGGTTGGGGTTGCCTTCTTAGTTGCTGGAGCGATGGTTTCCAACCCTTTCAGCACGGCCTCGAAGCACCTCCGGGCGGCCTCGATGTCCCCGTTCAGGGTCACCACGGCCCCCCGCTTCATGTAGTACTTCATCTTTAGGTGGACGGTGGAAGGCACCGCGGTGAGTTCTGCTATCATCGTTCTACTATCGTCGTTCTGCCCAGGATATAGTTGTAGAGGGACGGGTACTCGATGACTAAGAAACAGATGCTGATCTCCCTGGCCGTTTCTTCTTCCCCGAACGTGACTTTCAGCTCCACGTACCCCCAAGGTCTCGTCGTCGTTCCGTTGAACCCCTGAAGGTCGGAGCCTACGTAAGGGGACAGGTTGGATTTGTCGAGTTGGAGGGTCGTGAAGAGGTGGGTGTACATGATGTTCACCGAGCTGCCTCCGTCGACGAGGATGCGTCTGACATCGAAGGTCTCTATCCGCGCCCGTATCAGCAGGGGGATGTTGGAGTTGGGGGAGCCCCCGGGGAGTTCTTCGAAGTAGAATATGATCGGGTTGGATCGACCGCAAAATTTTTCGAGCGTGCTCATCTTACCAGAGTTGCTTGTGATAAGCTCGTCGAATTTTCTTTTCACCGATCCTATGGACAGGTTCCTTGTGGCGCCACCTGAGATGACCATAGCTTTAGCAAAGTATTCCCACCGACTGGTTGGCCGTATTGGCTCGACGGGTAGGTCGGGGCTGTCGGGGAGGCCGAACTCTCTGTCCGTGAACCAGTCCTCGGGGCGGCTGACGCACAGTGCGACCTGGAGTCCGTTGTCGCCGTTGGAAGAGGGGAGCTCTTTGACTTTCTTGGCCTCGGGGGCTTCTTGCCTCGGGGCCTCCCCCCGGGTGTATCTCTTTAAGTGGTCGTCCTTAATCAGGATTTCGATCGCGTCCTTGAGATGGATGCAGTCTTCCGTCACGTGTCCGTGGCTCCTGTGGAATCGGCAGTATTTCGACTTGTCCACATTGGGTTTGGGGGGTGTCGGCCTGGGGAAGCGGACACCTCCCTGGGAAAATTTGGTTTTGGCGCACTCGGCCAGTATGCGCTCGCGGGAAGCGACTAAGACCGTGTATTCCGTGAATCGGCCGACGGGGCCGCGCTGTTCGCATTGTTCACGGGGGCGATCTTCCCGCCGGCGGTCACCTCCGCGCTGGTGGCTTGAGGCTCCATCATCTCGGGGCCTGCGGGGGGCCTCCCTGTCTCGGGTGTCTCGAGCGGAGTTGGCTGCCTGGGTTTCCTCGAACCGGATATAATGCGCGGCTCTGTCGAGGAAATCCTACAGGGAAGTTGGTCGGTGTATGCCCACGGCCTCGTAGAACTTGAAGTCGCGGCGTAGATCCTGCTCCATTAGGTAACGCTTCATCTCGTCTGACGTCGTTACCTGTACTGCTTCCCGTGTGAATCTTTCAATGTACTTCCGAAGAGGCTCGTCGGGAGCCTGGATTATCGCGTCGAGGGCGGCCTCTGTCTTCGGGTGGCGTCGGGACGCTGTGAAGTGTTTTGAAAACAGGTCCTTCAGGACCCTCCACGACGTAATCGATTCGGACTCCAGACTTTTGTACCATGTCATGGCGCATTTCCTTAGGGTCGTCGGGAATAGCCTGCACTTGATAGCTCCTCGAACGTTTTGGTAATCGAGCATGGCCTCAATGTCTTCCAGGTGATCGTCTGAGTCGGAGGTACCGTCGTACGTCGAGAGCGTCGGGGGCTTCTCCATCCCGTGGGGGATGGGGGCGGCCATGATTTCCCAGGACAAAGGGGTCCTGTAGTCGTCTTCGTCGCTGAGAGCGGGTGACCGAGGAGGAGATGGGCCGTTTATTATAGGCACCTGGTTTCGGGTCCTCGGCCTTCTGATCGGGGGTTCGACGCGCGGAGGCCTGGTCGGGATTGCTGTCGTGTTCTGCCGCCTCCCGCGAACTTGTCTCATCGGGGATCTGGTGCGCTCCCGCACTACTTTCGTTCGGGGCCTCTCCAGCCGAGGTTGTCAATTTCTGGGTTGAGGCGAGGGACTCCTCGAGCCCCCATTCTGGTCTTCCCGCGGAGGGGACCTTGGGGGGACTTCCCGCTCCAGCGCTCCAATTCGTGCGTTCTGCTGAAACAATAGCTAGTTCGTCTGGTTGATGGCCGCAAAGAGGGCGGCCACCGTTGGGTCTGCTCCTGCTGGGACGGGAACGGGTTGGAACGCCGTTGGGCTCTAGGGTCGGTGGTCGGTCTGGCGTGTCGGTTCGGCGGATGACGGAGATGCAGTCTGGTCGTCTCTCTCGTCGGTCTCCGCCAGGCGTGACGTCTTTGTTTGCTTGCCGCCGTTTGCGACCGCGTTGAGCATGAAGTCGTGCACGGTATCGTCGTGGTGAGGGCTAGGCATGATCATGGAGTGTTGGTGAAACTTTGGTTCTCTGCTCGGAGTAACGGGGAAGTTTCTGTCCCCACAGTCGGTGCCACTGATCTGACCTGATCAGAAGGGGATCACGGGCTGGCCACACGCTGTTGGACTGCTATCTGTTCACCGGTGATAAGGAGGAGAAAATGGGGGTGTACCTGCAAGACACTCTGATGCCAAAGTAAGGAATTAGCAGAGTGAGAGCAAAGTACAAAAAAAGGGGTAAAAAGTGTTTTACCTGACCCTCTTGTGAAAGAGGATATTTATAGAGAGACCACAGCGCTGGGTCAACGGTCACCTGTGTTGGGCTGGATTGTCAGGCCCAACCCAGGTGACTGTTAAGGCTTACGTGGTGTAGTGAAGACCAGAACGTGGTCTTCGCCCTAGTCCAACTGTCCCTTGATCTCCGGAAAGTGGGTTTGACCTGCTCTTTCGGAGGTGGGCAGTTGGTTGGTGACGTGTCCCCACGGAGGGGAGCACGTAGAGAACGTGTGAAGGACACGATGTCCTGCCCGACAGGAGGGTGGGTTCTGCCCGCGGGAGGCAGGTCTTGCCCGTGGAGGGTAGTGTTTGGTCGAGCGGGGAGTCTCCTGCCCGACGCAGTTGGGGCAGGCCTTCCTAGCAGGGAGGCCTTTCTGGCATGTCGGGGACCTCGTGCCTGACGGGGTATCCGGACTGGACAGGGCCTGGCGGAACATTATTGGGCTGGCCCCGCGTGGTCAGCCCGGAGCCCAGGCTAGAACAGTTTAAAATCTCAAAAAAGAAATTTAAGGGTGTGCAAAAAAATCGGTTATTGTTAACTAAATTAGTATCTAAATTGATTCACTTTTAAAAATTCAAACCAAATGCTAAAATATAAATGTGGTTATTCATTTTATTATCCGAATATAAACCGGTTTCCATAATAATAATGTGGTTTAGTTATTGGTTATCCAAATTTCATAATTTGTTAAATTAATATGTTTGTCTCTTTTCATGTTTCATCATATACACGTTTATAAATCAATTTTATATTTTAAACTATTTTAATGTTAATTTTTTTGAATTTCATAAAAAAAATTATTTTACAGAAAAGTCAGAATTTTGTTTTTCAAAATAAAAAAAAAAGTTAATTATATTACTACAATTTTGCATAATGATTATTAAAATTGGTGAGAATTCAAGCATAATTAGAAAAACATTATGCTTATTGAATTAACTCTATTACGACAATTGTATAACGGTAATATAATTATAGTACCCATTCAATTTTTACGTAATATAAACCAATTATTTTTTAAAATATATTTTTTTATTTTCAAAGAAAAAATATTTTAAAACTTTATTAAATTTGTTTAAGTATTTAAATTTAAGAATTGATATAATTTAAAAGAAATATAATTAAAATTTAACTAAATAATTTAGATTAAATTAAAATTCATTTAAAATCGATTTTAAACCGGTTCGGAACAAGTCGTTTGGTTTATAAATTATAATCATAAAAATAAATTGGTTCATATTAAATGGTTATCTATACATATCCCTATTAAAAAAACTAGTGAATGAAATAAATTTATCTCATATAAATCAATTAATTAATGGTGGACGTAAGTCATTTTCCTTCTTAATATTTATATAATGAAATTTATTTTTCATTCATTGCAACTTGGATTATATAGGATAGAATGGAATGAAGAGTTATTTAAAACTATTAGTTATATAAAGTTATTGGAAAATTCTATCATCAACCGACCTTAGCTCAGTTGGTAGAGCGGAGGACTGTAGTTGGTGCAATGCCTGATAGAAATCCTTAGGTCGCTGGTTCGAATCCGGCAGGTCGGAATTTTGTGTATATTTTATCCTTTTTACAACAAATTATTGAGATAACATAACTTTAACACAAATGTTTACATTTTTATTGTTGGTAACAACATGATTCACATAATATTCATAGAAATTATGAAACCAAGATCATCATATCAAGTTCCAAACTCTTTCACGTCAAGATTTAACAAAATACATTATTCAATGCATACACAGTTTCCTCTTATTATGCTATAAAGATGAGACATTGTAATTGTAGAAAACCAAAATGAGTTTTCTCTTATTTATCTACAAATGAAACATTCTAAACACCAAACTGAACAAATTTCTCATGACTTGTTCCTTCTACAAGCAACTGTCCTCTTGAATTTCACCTCTTTGTCCCGTTCCTGCTTTTCGACGCAACACCCAATCCTTCTCGCTGTTGTCCAACTCGATTCATCGATCTTCTTCCAGAGTTCCGCTTCTTGCTGTTCCCAAGTGCAGCATTGGCAACACTTTCAATATATATGTTCTGTGCCACCCTTTTAGACTTGAGAGATTGTTTGTTCAAAAACACCAGATTTGGAAGAAGACCCGAAACAGATTTGTTTAGCTGTTCGTTACCGATGTTTCTCTGAATAGCGTTTCCGAGTAGATTAAGAGCCTGAAGTGAGTTGTAGTTAGCCACGAGCTGGCCTAACGATTTTGTTGTGGTGATTTTGTTGAAGCTCAAGTCCAGAACTGTTAGCTTAAACAACCTATGTAGCCCCTCGATATCATTTATCTTGTTTCCAGCAAGATATAGCTCCTTGATAAGTGTACAGTTTGATAAACCTGATGAATCACATTGTGAACAATTGTAACGCGGTTATAAACAACGAACAAAGACCAACAAATTTCATATGCAAATTCCTATCTTTTGTCTTAAATCTCTAGTTCCTAGAGGAAGAGGACGCTGAATCAGGCGTGGCAAACCCGCCTCGTTTAAGCCCTCCCGATAAAAGTCCGTGAAAAACGGGGCAGAGCAGACATTATTGAGGGTGCTTGCCTAAAACTTTGGTCCGCTCTGCGAAAAAGTTAGGGCGGGCCGGGTCGGGCCGCGGGTACTACACCTTTAAAGGCTAAAAACTGCACAAGTTTATGTTAATGTCTGCTTCTGCAAAAGTTCACAAGAAAACGGGGCAAGACGGGGCAGACATATTAGATGGTGCGAGTCTAAAACTTTGGCCCACCCGCACAAAACAGACATGCTTGGTGGGTCAGAACTGTTTTGCCACCCCTAACCCGGATGAAATATATTACAGTCTGGAGCCAAAATTCTAACTTGGGACATGCAGATTGGTATGAACATATTTTTAAATAGACACTAACCTTGTCCAATTCTTGAAATGCAATTGTAACTTAGGTCAAGTACTCGCAACCGGGTCAATTCTTTGAGACCGTCGATGGTGCTAATCTTGTTTCTTGACAAATTAAGTGTTTGAACACTCTTTGGTAGACATCCAGGTATGATGCTAACTGCAGAACAATAATAAAGAAGAAATTCAACAAATTGAGTTAGTTTAGTTGTTAATTTATGCTGCATTAAAAGCTGCATTCTACTCCTGAAGTTAGAAGAATACCTATGAAATTGTTGGACAAATTGACAGAGCGGAGATTGGAGAAGTGCGATATCACGGGGATGGCTTTTATACCAACGCCGGATATGTGAGCAACCGATGAAGCTGCACTTAGAGACTGGACCATACTATTGGCTCTCAAAATATCCTTTGAAAGATTGGAATTTGAATCAGGCAACTGAGATGTGCTTCCTATCAATGGTCTACAGGCATCAGGAGAAGGCGGGAAGGAAATGCTTCCAGCGTTGTAATCAAGAACACCATCCTCCGGAACTGGTTCCTGAATTTCAAGATCTTTGACCCATGCGTCCACCCTAGCATAAGAAGATGATTCTGTCGAGAAAGCAAGCCATTGGTTAGGAAATCTGTTCTGCCTTTGATCATTGTCATTGACGATTTCGCTAACGGATTGCGTAGTAAATGACACGGAGGATCGCACATGTTTCATTGCCTTCAATTGTTTTGGTTCGAGGGTGTCGGAAGAATACTCAAATTGATCGCTTAAAGAACTAATAGCAGGAACAAGTTTCGATTTTCTAGAGAATGTTCTATGTATGTTCCTCTGACTCCAGAGGAACAACTTCCACCATAATTTTTTACTTCTAGACGGGAGTACTTGACTTGAAGAATGTCGTTTCAACATCACTCTATCAGCACTGCGGTCACTTTTCACAGACCTTGACCTCTTAAGATTCAACATTGGGTTTGTGGATAAATCGGGAAAGTCTTCAACAGATAGAGACTTTGATGGAGACAAGTATTCATGTATCTGCCTATGAACATCCTTATTTTCAATGTTCGAGCACGACCGCTTGAGTTTTGGAGAACCCAGAAAATCAGATTTCCTTATACCAGGATCACTCTTTCGGCTGTATCTATTGCTTTGATCTTCCAATTCATCACTGACTTGGTTTTTCCCTTTTGAATCATACCCTTCTTTGCTTGCAACTGGTTCATCGGATTGAAGATCAAAATCCGAGAGCTCCCTCTTGATTGAGGCCGAATTTTCATTCTCAGTTTCATCTCCACCTTTATAAACTTTCACAAGACTCTTAAGACGCATAACCCTAACATCACTCCTCGAGCTTTTCTGACAACCATTGGTTACAGTAACATCATAAGTGGCTGGTTGCGAATCACGCGACTCAGATGATACCGAGTGCCGTAGTTTGGAAATTAGAGTATCGAAACTCTCTTTCGAAGATTTTTCTTTCCCCGCCTAAAGAAACAACCAACATAGGAACACTAAAACACGTTAATCACAAGCATTAAAGTAACAACATAAAACAAAACAACACTATATTCAAACCCAATGGACTCTTGCCTTTTTTTTCGCCTTAGTCTCATTCAAAATCGAAAAGCACCTCCATATTGCCATCTCAAAATCCAAAACCTATTCTAAATCCTTTTTCCTTTGCACTTTCTATGCAATCAAATTACCACTTCCATCTCAACAGCAATTACATTGGATCAATTATTAGCCGTAATCAGAAGGATGGAACAGAAAAATAGCTGGAAACCTGTGTGAACAAAACCCGAAACCGAAAAACAAAAGATCAAAACCTGTTCCAATTGATGCAGCTATCTCTATAAAATTGGCCAGAGTTGTGTATGCAAGTAAATCTTTGTCCTTCTTAAATCTCCACCAATATATTTTTCACCTGTTCGGTCGAAAACCAGTTATCAGATAACCAAAACATCTCAAATATTCATCAAGAAAAATTCCACCAACCCTAAAAGCACACCAAAAAAAAATCCTAATTAAATAAAACAAAAAGTCTTACATTAATTGGAAATACATATTAATTAAATTACTTAGGAACATGCCTCTGTTCAAGGACATTCGACTGCTGGGACGCAGATTAAAAAAACTCATAATTATGGTTATTTTATAATACATTATAGCATAACTTAATGAGATAAGATTTAATTATTGATATAGATATTATGATCTTCACTCCCGTCTTATATATAAGCAAAAGTCACATATCTGATTCAAATTTAGCACAATACAGACAGTAGTTTTCAAACACCCACGGATATTCAAAAGGAGACAATACCTCGTAAAAACACACAGTTGAATAGTTCAATAAAACACTCTAAAGTCAAATATACTTTTTGAGAAATGTTTCATGGAATTCAATGATCTCAATTAATAAAAAAGAAATGATTCTTTGACACTCATTTTAACACCTAGTACCATAAATACATACTTTTCATTTTTCTAATAACTTTTTGTTTCATTTCGAAATATGTGCAAAGCTAAATCATAGCATACATACTGGGTAGAAACCCAGTGTCAGCATAGCATAACTGTTAATAAAACATAACAATTTGAAACACATAAATAACAAAAATTCAGCATTAATTGTTGCAAGAGTCAAATAGTGACGGTAACTAACCTCAAAACCACGGCGAGAATCATGAAGACTGAAACTGGAGAAGCGACGGAATCTGAGAGAGAGAGAGAGAGAGAGAGAGAGAGAGAGAGAGAGAGAGAGAGAGAGAGAGGCGGTGGCTATTTGGACACAAAAAGAGACGATAAATAACTGATTTGTAATTGAATTGAATGAATAACTCTATTTATAATTTCGAGGGGCACGAAACAACATGAATGTGTTCTTTGTATAGTAGCAATCTAAACTTTTTCGTTACTCTTACTCAAATTTTGTTTTATAGGATGAACCAGAACAGGTTTCTTAAATAAATTTTTTAATCTCAATCATTTATTTTTAATTTAAGAGCTAATAATAATTCTTATTATCTAACATACTATTTTAATATAATTTATTTAAATATCAATTTTTTATCCTTATTTCAATATTTTTCATTAATTTTTTACATACGTTCTTATCTAATTTTTTACTATTAACTTTTTATTTAATTTTTATTTAAAATTAATAATATATAAAATATTATTTAAATTTTTACGTGTACATTAAAAAAAACGGACACACAATTTTTATATAAAAAGAAAACTTGGATTTGGTATAGTCTATTTTTATTTCAATTATATTCTTTTGTCTTTTATTTTAAAATTTAATTTCTCTTTTACTAACTTCGTTTTTATTAACTGTTATATGGTAGTTTGTACAAATATTTCATTCAACTTTCTTATATAAAATTTAAATTAAAAAAAAATAAAAACATCAAAAATTATATTTTTAAACGTCTGAACGTTAAAAAAGTAGACATCCGTCTCTGGACGTTAGTATATATAAATAGAGTGAGGATTCATTTTCTCTAAAAGTAAGTTTTTATAACTTACTTCAAAGTCATAACCTTTAAATTAGATTTAATCGAATGATTATAATTATAAATGTTAATTTAATCACTAGATTAGACTCAATTTAAAGACTATTATGCAGAGTAAGTTACAAAAATTTACTCTTTGAGTAAGTTGATCCCCATATATATATATATATATATATATATATATATATATATATATATATATATATATATATATATATATATATATATATATATATATATATATATATATATATATATATATATATATATATATATATATATATATATATATATATATATATATATATATATATATATATATATATATATATATATATATATATATATATATATATATATATTTAAAGGTAGTACAGTGTCGGTGGAAAATAGTTTTATACATACAACTAATCAAGATATCTACAATTGTCCTATAATATTAAATTTAAAAAATAAAAATAAAATTTAAATTCTTTTTTAATAAATGATATTTTAAGTACAATATAGGTAGGTTAATAAATGTAGTCAAAATGAGTAATTTTAACTAATAAATTAAAAATTTTGACTCAATTAAATATCTGATGGTCAATAGGAAAAAGAAAAAAGAAAAGAAAAAAATAAATGTATATATTGTTATTTCAATCATTAATTATATATATACTTCTGTATTTAAAGCACTCAAACAATTGAGGGATGAAGAAAACAAATCTAACTTTTTTTCTTCCTTTTTCTACAAACTCACCTCTTTTCATTTTCATATTAATTGTTGTTTAAACAATTCAAACTAAATTTTAATTATCAATTGAAAATTAATTTTAATTTTTTTTCTCGTATATATATATATATATATATATATATATATATATATATATATATATATATATATATATATATATATATATATATATATATATATATATATATATATATATATATATATATATATATATATATATATATATATATATATATATATATATATATATATATATATATATATATATATATATATATATATATATATATATATATATATATATATATATATATATATATATATATATATATATATATATATATATATATATATATTCTAATAAAAAAAATTTAAGGATGAAAATAGACAAGCTTGGCTACCACTAGGGTGTTTGTGGTGCGGTTTTTGTGATTTTGACTTTAAAAGTTGCAAGAGAAAAAAATATGCGATTTGATTTAATTCGATTGATTTTTAGAAATAAAACTAAATTAAATTAAACAAAATCAATGTGGTTTGAATTGGGTTGGTTAATTCAATTTTTATGATACGATAGAATATTTTAGATTTAATATTCTTTTTAGTCCTATATCTTAGCCTCAAAGTTTAACTTTGTGTCTTAATTAAAACAAAATTTTATATTGGTCTCTTAACTCTTCAAGATTTACAATGTTAGTCCTGTTTATCAAATTAGAGACGAAAACCGTCACACCGCCGATTAACTCTTCAAAAATTCATATTGGTCTCTTAACTCTTCCAATTATCTTACATGGTATCACCCTAATCGATCCCTTTCTCCTTCTCAAACCTACAAATTGTGCCATTGTCGCGCCTCTATTCTATTTGCGCCACAGTAACCACCGCCGCACCGCCCTTCTCTCTGCGCCAACGTAACAAACGGCGTGTGAACCTTCTCTCCATGATGCCACATTCGAAATAGTCTTTGTACCCTTTGTTCGTGCTTTACCGAAGCACGGGATCTTTGAGTCTAACAACAATGACACTAACATCGACAACATGCAAACTCCCTCTATCAATCACGATTCTGCCACGCCCAACCCCCTTATTTATCATCGGTTGTTTCCAACATTATGGCTAAAACGACAAGCAATGGTTCTCATGTTGCCATGCATACAACTTAACAGTGATATTCTTATGACACCTCAAAAGGTGGCAATTACCTCCCAACAACCACTCTCGTTCTCGCAACAACCAGGGCCGCAGCAGGGGACGTGGTCACCGAGGTGGCACCCAATCTGGTGCTCTCAACACGCTTACATTCTGGTATTCTCCTCCTTGGCAGCAACAACACCAACATCCATCCTGGAAACTATGGGGTTGGACTCCATCACCATGAGTCATGCCTTCATACAAGTATCCCACATCTCAGTGAACACACCTCGCCGGTACTTCAAAGCAGCAAGGCATCCTAGGACAACGTCCTTAGGCATATACAACTACTAAATCATCTCAGACATCGACAGACATTGAGACCTCTATGCACACCATATCTCTCGACACTCTTAACAATCAATGGTACATGGATACTAGCGCAACATCTCACACGACAACATCATAAGGTAATATCTTGTCTTATTTTACTTTAGTTAATTCAAATCAGAAAATTATTGTTGGTAGTGACCATGGAATTCCAATTCACAACACCAGACACACACAAATATCCACCTTCACCAACCCCTTCACTTAAACCATGTCCTGCATGCCCCACAAATCATGAAAATTTTAATTTATGTGCGATGACTCGCCACTCGTAACAATGTCCCTATTTCTTTTGACCCTTTTGGCTTTACTGTATCTAATTTTTAGACGAGGATCCCTCTCATGAGATGTGACAGTTGTGGCGATCTCTATCCAGTCACCACTTCCATAAATTATATCGGTCTTACTTCCAATCTCTAACACAGTCACCTGGATCACCCTAACATTTGTGTTTTGCATTCCCTTTGCAATAATAAGTTCATATGTTGTGAACCTTTTAATTCTTTTTCTATTTGTGACTCTTGTGTTTTAGACAAACATGTTAAATTGCCATTTTTTAATTCTCAAATTATAACTTTGAGGCATTTTGATATTTTTCATAGTGATTTATGGACTTCTTTGATTTTAAGTTTTGTCGATCATAAATATTAGGTATTATTTTTGGATTATTTCATACATTTCTTATAGACATTTCCTATTAGCGAAAAATCTCAAGTATTTGAAACATTTACATCACTTACAAACCTTATTGGCACACAATTTTTGCAAAACGTAAAATGTTTTTAACGTGACAGTGGTGGTGAATATAATAATGAGTTATTTTTGCAAATATTGCACTGATCATGGCCTTGTTTTTCGTTTCTCTTATC